ATTTTTATTGTTTGGTGACATGCTAGGGTTTGTTATTAATCTTGTTAGTATCATGCCTAGGATCTTGCTATTTTTATTATGCTTTAACATGAATATTGTTATAATTATTATGATATGATTATTATTATTCTTCATGATTATTATTGATTATGTTCTTGGCACATTATTTATATTTATTGCTTGATCACTTTTATTGCATGTTAAAGGGAATTTGGTATTTGCAATCGCGCTTAATAAAATAATTAATAATCTTGTTAGGTTAACTTTGGTTATAATTCAAGTGATCGCCAATAATAGTTTATTTATGCATTAAATTCAACCAACATAGATTAAACAGGTTTAGGTTAATCCTATTGATTGCATGTTAGTCAGAAAGCGCACATGAATACGATCAGAATAAAGTAGAGGCCTATTATTAGGGCAGGTTCAATCTCTTTTAGGTTGGATTTGTACCTTCATCCCCGGACCCTTATTTGGTTCATGACCTTATGGAGTTGACGATTTCTTGGATCGTTAAGGGGTGTAACCTTCCCCTCGTGAACGGTTTACAAGTTCCTTAAAAAACTTGTTGGCGACTCTTTTGCTCTATCTTCTTCCCTTTTGGACGCCACCGTACTTTAGTGTATGATCACAGTGGGGTTCAAGCTAGTGGGATTTTAAAGGCTTGAAACTATTCCCTACAGTTTTATGGTCCATGGTAAACATTTCTGCAATTTTTATTTTCGGACGTAAAAAAGTCAAAAAAATTCCAAATTGAAGGCTGATATCAATGCTTTTTGAAAACTTTTGGAGGTTTCGGGGGCCGATGTTGAAAAGGCTTAAGATTTTAGAGGATATATCTCAGGGTTATATAATGTCGTTTGGAACCATATATGATCATTATATGTTGTTATAAATGTTCGTGGTCGGCTTGAATTAATAAAACCGGTTTAAGTTGTAAATCGGTAAATTGGCCGTTTAAAGGCAAATTGAATGGTTTCACCCACTAAATGGTCTACCAGATGGTATTAGGGATTATGGTAAAAATTTCGGCAATTTTTATTTCTGGGCAAAAAAAAAATAAAAAAAATTCCAAAATTGAAGGTTAATATCCATGCTTTTTGCAAAATTTTGAAGGTTTCAGGGCACGGTGTCGAAAAGTCTTGAAATTCTAGGGAATATATCTTGGTGTTATATAATGCCATTTGGAACCATATATGATTATTATATGTTGTCATAAGTGTTCGTGGTAGGCTTGAGTTAATGAAATTCGTGTAATTTGTAAATCGGTAAATTTGTCGTTTAAAAGCAAATTGGATGGTTCTACTCACCCAATGGGACTCCGGAGGGTAACAGGAACCATTATAAAAATTTCATCAATTTTTATTTTCGGACGAAAAAAAGTCAAAAAATTCAAAAATTGAAGGCTAATATCCACGTTTTTTGAGAAAATTTGGAGGTTTCGCCCCGATATCGAAAAGGCTTAAGATTTTAGGAGATACATCTCGGGATCATATAATGCCGTTTGGAACCATATATGAACATTATATGTTGTCATAAATGTTCGTGATAGGCTTGAATTAATGAAATCAGTGCAAGTTCTAAATAGTTAAATTGGACGTTTAAAGGCAAATTGGATGGTTCCACCTACCCAATTGGACTCGGGAGGGTTTTATAGACCATGGTAAACATTTAGGCAATTTTTATTTCTGGGCGATAAAAAGTAAAAAAAAAATAAAAATTGAAGGCGAATATATCCACGCTTTTTGAGAAATTTTGGAGTCTTCGGGGTCCGGTGTCTAAAAGTCTTGAAATTCTAGGGAATACATCTCGTGGTCATATAATGTCGTTAGGAACCTTATATGATTATTTTTTGTTGTCATGAATGTTCTTGGTGGATTGAGTTAATGAAATCAGTGCAAGTTGTAAACCGGTAAATTGATGGTTTAAAAAAGAATTTGATAGTTTCACCCACCCAATTGGACTCCCGGGGTGTATAAGGGACCATGGTAAAAATTTCGACAATTTTTATTTCTGTGTTAAAAAAAGTCAAAAAAATTCCAAAATTGAAGGCTAATATCCATGTTTTTTTAGAAATTTCGAAGGTTTAGGGGTCTGGTGTCGAAAAGAAATGAGATTTAAAGGGATACATCTCGAGGTCATATAATTCCGTTAAGAACCAAAAATGATCATTATATGTTGTCATAAATGTTCGTGGTAGGCTTGAGTTAATGAAATCGATGCAAGTTGTAAACCGGTAAATTCGCTGTTTAAAGGCAAATTAGATGGTTCTGCCCACCCAATTGGACTCTCGGAGGGTATTAGGGTCCATGGTAAACATTTATGCAATTTTTATTTCTGGGCAAAAAAAGTCAAAATATTACAAAAATGAAGGCTAATATCCACGATTTTTTGAGAAATTTTAGAGGTTTTAGGGCCCGGTGTCGAAAAAGCTTGAGATTTTAGGGGATGTATCTTGAGGTCATATAATGTTGTTTGGAACCATATATGAACATTATATGTTTTTATAAATGTTCGTTGTAGGCTTGAATTAATGAAATCGGTGTAAGTTGTAAATCGGTAAATTGGCCGTTTAAAGGCAAATTGGATGGTTCCTCCTAGCCAATTGGTCTCCCATAGGGTATTAGGGACCATGGTAAACATTTCGGCAATTTTTATTTTCGGGCAAAAACAAGTCAAAAAATTCCAAAATTGAAGGCTAATATCCACACTTTTTGAGAATTTTTGGAGGTTTCGGGGCCCGGTTTCAAAAAGTCTTGAAATTCTAGGGAATATATATCTCGGGGTTATATAATGTTGTTTGGAACCATATATGATCATAATTTTTTGTTATAAATGTTCGTGGTAGGTTTGAGTTAATGAAGTCGGTGTAAATTGCAAATCGTGAAATTGATCATTTAAAGGCAAATCAAATGGTTCCACCCACCAAATTGGACTCTCGTAGGATATTAGGGACCATGGTAAACATTTCAGCAAATCCACGCTTTTTGAGAAATTTGAGATGTTTTGAGGCCCGGTGTCGAAAAGTTTTGAGATTTTAGAGGATAATCTCGGGGCTATATAATACCGATTGGAACCATATGATCATTATATGTTGTCATAAATGTTCGTAGTAATCTTAAGTTAATTCAATCGTAGCAAATTGAATGGTTCCACCCCCCAATTAGTCTCTGAGAGGGTATAAGGGACCATGGTAAACATTTCGCCAATTTTTATTTTCGGGCGAAAAAAAAGTAAAAAATTTCCAAAATTGAAGGCTAATATCCACGCTTTTTGAGAAATTCGGTGCCTGTTGTAAAAAAAGCCTTTATATTTTAGGGGATACATCTCGGGGTCATATAATGCCGTTTGTAACAATATATGATCATTATATGTTGTCATAAATGTTTGTGGTAGGTTTTAGTTAATGAAATCGGCGCAAGTTGTAAACCGGTATATTGGTCGTTTAAAGGCAAATTGGATGGTTCCACCCACCCGATTGGACTCATGAAAGGTGTAAGAGACCATGCTAAACATTGGGCAATTTTTATTTCCATTTTTATTTTCGGGCGAAAAAAAGTCAAAAAATTCAAAAATTGAAGGCTATATCTAAGCATTTTGAGATTTTTTGGAGTCTTCGGGGCACAATGTTGAAAAGTCTTGAAATTCTAGGGAATACATCTTGGGGTCATATAATGTCGTTTGGAACCATATATGATCATTATTTGTTGTCATAAATGTTCGTGGTAGGCTTGAATTAATGAAATCGGTGTTAGTTGTAAACCGGTAAATTGGTCGTTTAAAGGCAAATTGGATGGTTCCACGCACCTAATTGGACTCCCTAAGGGTATTTGAGACCATGGTAAACATTTCGGCAATTTTTTTACAGGCGAAAAAAAGTCAAAACATTCAAAAATTGAAGGCTATATCCATGCTTTTTGAGAATTTTTGGAGTCTTCGAGGCACAATGTCGAAAGGTCTTGAAATTCTAGGGAATACATCTCGGGGTCATATAATGTCGTTTAGAACCATATATGATCATTATTTGTTGTCATAAATGTTCGTATTAGGCTTGAATTAATGAAATTGGTGTAAGTTGTAAACCGATAGATTGGTCATTTAAAGGCAAATTGAATGGTTCCACCCACCCAATTGGACTCTCTGAGGGTATTTGGGACCATGGTAAACATTTCAGCAATTTTTATATATGGGCATTAAAAAGTAAAAAAAAAAATCCAAAATTGAAGGCTAATATCCACGCTTTTTGAAATTTTTTTAATGTTTCGGGACCCGGTGTCAAAAAGCATTGAGATTTTAGGGGATATATCTCGGGGTCATATAATGGCATTTGGATCCTTATATGATCATTTTATGTTGTCATAAAGTTCGTGGTAAGCTTGAGTTAATGAAATCGGTGCATGTTGTTAACAGGTAAATTGGTCGTTTAAAGGCAAATTGGATGGTTCCACCTAGCTAATTGGACTCCCGGAGGGTACTAGGGACCATGGTTAACATTTCGAAAATTTTTATTTCCGGGTGAAAAAAAGTCAAAAAATCCAAAATTAAAGGTTAATATCCACGATTTTTGAAAAATTTTGGAGGTTTTTGCCGGGTATACTCTGTTAGATAATCCTTAGGTCGCTAGTTCGACTCCGGCAGGTCGAATTTTTTCAATTAAATTCATGATACCTCCGTTTCTTTTTAGTTGACACGTATTCCTTTTTAGAAAGTTTTTTTTTTAATGGACACGTACTCCTTTTTAGGAATTTTTTTTTTTAGTTGACACATTTCCGTTTGGCGCAAGTTTTTTACCTTGTGTTTACAAGCTACTCCACTTGCTTCTTCATTCTCTCACTCTGTCACCTCTCCTCAATATATGTGCCTAAATCAAACGCGTTAACTAAATAGAAACGGAGAAAGTATTTTTTAGGAGGAATTGGTTTGTCTCAAGATTGTGAAGCGCAATTATGGCTATAACTAGGTTACTTATCCTATCCTAATGCCATCGTATCATACACATGTTTCATAGACTGTAATAAAACCCGATCAATTTATACGGAGTAGTATATAAGATTCGTACATACACAATTTTTGTGTATAAACACTATAATACTTATATAGGCACAAATCATATCTCTTCATTCTTCCATCAATGGAAAGATTGTACGATACATGATCCTCGTTCTGGCCTCCAACTCTCCAAGCTGCATTATTATTTCCTAATGCCGTTATTTTCAGAGTTTGGAACTGAATTAAAGAGAAATTTCTTCATGGTCTTGTATAGTACTTTGGGCTTCTCTATGTTGATTGCATGCCCTGCTTTCTCAACTATGACTAGTTCCGCGCTTTCACCTATATGCCTACACATATAGACACACCATAAGAGAGACCAAATAAGTAAATCAAACATGTTAATTAACATGACATGGGATGTACTAAAAATTTGACATTATTAATGCTACAAGATAATAATACGTACCTTTTTAATCTATGAGCAAGCTCTATTGGGAACACCTGATCGTGTTTCCCCCATATGATCAATGTGGTCTACACCAACACGAGTAACAATTACATAATCAGATTTTTGGACGAGTACAACTAACAATGAAAGATATACCGTTGTTCATTTGGTTACCTTATTAATCTTAGGAAGGTTAGCAAGTTTTCTATCCTTATGCAAGGCTTCTATCAATTGTTTCCTTTGCTCCCGGTTTTCTGTGCACATCACCTGATGAAACGTGCAAGGAAGTTTAGTTTAAGTTAGTTTCCAAGATTTACTCCAAACTCGAATGAAACAAGCTAAGTAAGGTCAAAGCTAGTAGAAAAACTCTGGCAATCTTCAAATTTGTATAACAAATGAAGAGAACTCATGTTTTGGGACAATAAAATCACTACTTCCTACACATATATCAACCAAAATGCACAAACTTTTTTACTTCTAGTCATCTTTTTTTTTCAAAAATAGCGAAATCTAAATAGACCATAAAGGGATTCACGCGTACAATGACCCCCGTTTCCCTTCCACTACCCTCCGCCAGTCCGCCCCCAATTCGTTTCCAAGGGCCTTGGGACCAAACTTGGACCCTAGCTTGGACGTGTGAACTCTTGAAATATCATGCTATATACTCGTAGAGTCGTAGTATATACTACCATGGGACTTATTGTCAAAAAAAATTAGGCAATTACTTGCCTTGCCCATATCTCACGTGGCACAGTCTACTGCAGAGTATCTTACAACCAATCAATAATATTTGGAAGACAATTCATTGACAAATTATTTATCAACAAGTTGCAATCCGATTCTCCAAAGTTTTCCCTTTCTTGAGTTGTGTGGTGAAGCTACCAATCTATAAAGAAATCATTACGGAATCATGTTGTGTTGGACACAATTGTCATGTAGCGTTAATTCATTTCACCTCTTTCTAAGAAAGAAACTGTATCACAATAATCGAATACACACATTTGCAGCCACCCACATGTAACACATCTAATCCTCCTTAGTCCTCACTAATAAACATGAAAAAGTAGCTAAAGGAGATCTATTTTTAATAAAGTAGATAAAAAAAATCCATCTTTTTACGAAAATAAAGATGTTAATAAAGAGTAACATATAAACATTTAATACGTTTTCTAAATTGATACTTTACTAAGAACGTTGGATAGGATCAATAAGAGTACTGTATAGGAAACAGAGGGGTATTCGTGTATGATCAATTTTCAAACAATAAATAAAATACAAGTGGAAAAAAGAAGAAATAAAAGAACTTACTTGAATAAAATCAGATAAGAAGCAATTAGGAATACGAGTTTGAGGCTTGTAAAAAGAAAGCTTCATCAATTCCTTCAATTTTTGAGGAGTTTGAGGCAACAAAATAGAGGCAGCATCATCAACACTTTTAACCTTAAACATCCCTTCATCCATATCTTTAGCTTCCAAACAAACACCCGAACAAACAAGCACCAACTTTTCAATAGCATCAGGAAACTGAGCAGCCATACTATACGCTACAAACCCACCATAACTAACCCCACAAACACTCATTTTTTTCACTCCTAAGCCCTCCATCATCTTCATCACACACTGAGCTTGAAACGACTCGGTCCGGTCGGACCGAGTCGTGTAAGACTCACCAAAGAAGACTAGATCAGGGACATACACATTAAATTTTGGGATTAATGGAGATATAAAGTAATCCCATTGCCACATAGCATTAGCACCTAAACCATGTAACAAAACAAGGTTTGATTTGTTTTGTTTGTGCTTTCTTGGTGCCCAACAATGCATTGTTGTACCTTCTCCTAGATCTTTTGTTGTCGATTTTAATCCCGCGTTTTCGAATGAATATTTGTAGCATGTGTCTCTTGATGATGTGAAGCTAAAACACTTTGCCATTTTTTTTTTTTTTTTTTTTTTGGAATGCAGGATTATTGATTCAAATTAATATTAACCAACAGGTTAATTGTTACTAGCTAATTGATGATATAAAGGAAAGGAGAGATTTATTATTAGAGAATATTTTGGAAAGGTTGATAATTTTGATCACATAAGGTAAAGTTGGAAAGTTTGGAGCAAGTAAAGAATGTAATAAATTTATTACTTGGTGATGAGAATCACGTTTAGAGAGAGGAAGGTAGAGGCGTTTGAGCAAGAGGAGAGAGAAATGGGAAAACATACCAATTACCAAGAAATCTTGGGCTTTATAATTGACCAATTATAACACGACATATATGTCCTTTTTTATATTTAGAAAATTAGAATTAAACTATGTGCCGTCATTTTAAAAAGGCAAAAGCTAACGAATGTTATGGGACGTTGAATAAGCTAGCTAAAATTATAAAGATTAAAGTAAAATAAACATTGATTACATCGATCGACGCGTGATTTTGTCATGCTTTCCCAAATTTATACCATTTTTGGTAGTATTTTAAATGCGTATCCAACGCCACGGAGGCGTTTGTTAGCAAGTTCCTTTTACACATACTCATTGTCTTTTAAGTTAGAGAAATTTTCATAATATCATAATCATTGTACATTAATACTTATAATGTCATAAATACTTGATAATATGCTCGTGAAAAATAAATTATAGAAAAAGACTTATGCCTAACAAGATAGGCAACTAATGCGGAGAAAATTGTAAATGTGTTTTTAATGAACCTATCTAGAATTAGCTTTTGGTTTAATGGAGACATGAAAAATATTGTATTCCTTTTAATTGTTTAACCGTTAGTATAGTCTCTAAATTTATTATATGTCGATAATTTCAAAGTAATGGCGGCTTGGGTTCAAATCTTGTCAACCATTATTTTTACTTTTTAGTGAGTTTATAAGAATGTTAAATTGAGTTGAATTATGAAGTATCTGATACAATAGTTTTTGCTTCACCTATTGTATAAAAGGAAAGTGATTGTCAATTATATTCATGAGATTAGAAAAAAAAAATCTATAATTGGAAGTATGCAAGTTAAATGAATATAATCTCAATGATTCACTTTTATAGTACATGAATCAAAAGATACTTAAAATAATTTCATATTTAAGATAATTATGCATATATCTGTACATATAAAACAACACTCCGTAATATTTTAGATACTCATAATATCGAAGATACTGGAATATAAGTATATAGCTATATATATCTTTATTAAATTAAAGAAATACTATAATTTTGGTAAACAAAAACAGTGCAAAGGCCATGAAGCTTGCCAACATGCCAAAATGGTAAATTTTTACTAATTTTTACAATAACAAAGTTATGGAATGAAAACGACCAAATATTGACTAATACTTGGACTTGTTAAGATTATATTATTGTAAGATTTGTAGCAATATAGTTATATAGATACACTTGTAAAAGTTTAAGATATTTATTCTTCTATTATTGCTAGCATGGGACCCAGTTAAAGTGAGCAGTTGGGAGGGCCAACTACCACATAAAAATTAAAATTAATAAAGGAGTTTAGGACACCTAACAACTTAACTGGTTGTAACTTGTAAGTGGTGAACTAATTGAAGTTCACGTAATTGAGGCCCAAAAGTGCGAAAAAGTCTAGTTGAACTGGGCCATGGTCTTATTATGGTATGATCTTGTACCAGCCCATTTGATTAAGTCCAATATGCAATATGGTTCAGTCCAGTAACAAAAAAAGGTTCCTACTAAAAAAAGTCATTTCTTTCAGCTAAAATGTAGCATTTGATTAAGTCCAATATGCAATATGGTCTTTTTCTCCAAAAACCATGCATTGTGTATGGAGTAAGCTTTAGGGAGATTAGTTGGGAAGCATAGCAATTTTACAATCTACTAATCTATTGCTAGCACAATTCTTGTACTCCTAATGATGTGTTTATCTCTGTTCGTCTTAGCGGAAAATTTAATGTATATAATCGGTATGTATTGTAACGAGTGTCATACATCACTGTTCATAACTAGTTAAATTAAAACTTTTAGGCTTGACTTGTAGAAAGGAGATCACATTTAAACCAAGAAGTTGAAGCTTCAATCCCACTAGGGGTAATTTGAGAGAGGGGATTTCCTTATATTTTCCCCACTCTCTCAAATTGTCTAGCCCAGGTTAACCTAGGTCGAGTTAGCTCGTAAAAGATTTTGGCTTAAGACCCTTGTTCATTCCATTAAAAAAATTTATTGAAAAAAAGGTCATATTTAAAAGGGGCGTGGTGATGCTAGTGATATATTTCTTAAAATACCGAGTGGTTACAATTTACAAATGTATTAATTTTGTGATTTACATATGATGATGGTGAATTGGTGAATAGTGATGATACTACAGGATCTAATACAGATAGTACAATACTTGCTTTCCATATTAATCACTTTAGATGAAAATAATGAACAATCTAATTTTAAAAAAATAGTACTCGTACGGAGTAGTAATTAATTATGTAGGCGGTGGCCATGCATTTTGTAATTTGTATCGTTGACTAATCTCTCTAATATTTGTGGATGGACTATAGACAATGGTGGTCTCTTGCCTATCTTTAGGCATGCTGGCCACACAACACTCATCAATATTAGAGAGTGTCAATTAGTCAATTTTTGACTGCTTTTTAAAAATTTTGAGCATTAATCATTGATTATACAAGTAATTTTGCTTGCTTTTTTGGTTTTTCTGATCCTTTTTTAAACGGAATAATTTTGCTTGTTGAAGTCATTTGTCAATTGTCATGGCAAGTTAGCTAAAGATTTTTTTTCATCTTACACGTAATACAACTGGATCAAAGATGTACCAATATGTTATTATTTTTGTTAATATGATGATTATGTAGCCAGATACAAATAACAATCTTTGCAAGTTAGCAGCGTGCTTTATAGGTTAAGATTTTATATTCACCTAATTGAATAGCTAATAAGTTGATACATAATCACAAGTTTAGATGAAAGATAAGTTTAAATTAATTAAGATATTTATGTTAAAATAAGCTGAGAATTTTAGATGGACGGAGATAAATCCAATACAATAACATAATATAATAGACATAATAAATATGAGCCAGCCTAGGTTAATAATTGTGCTAAACCTGGCCTATTAAGCACAGGTCATTTTCGTCTTTTCGCCTTAAAAAGTAAGGGTGAAAATGTCCATCCCCAATTTGAGAGATAACTGCTGTTAAGTTGCCGTTTTCTTCTATTCCTTAACCCTGGTTAGTTGCTGTCACTCCTACCCAAAGTTGTCTGGTGCTTCTTCTTCTTCAACTTGACTGGTTGTTCTTCACTCCCCATTTTTTTTTGTTCTTCCATCAAGCCAGAACTTGAATTCTTGGGTGATGTCGTTTCGTCGATCTTGAACTCAGATCGATTTTCTTTTGGGTTCAATTCTCCGGTGTTCATAAGGTAGGCGTTCAATTGGAACATGTTTGCGATTTAATTTGACTATCATCTTCTTCTTCGAGCTCCATTAATGTCGGACACCAAACCTCAACACCATTTTCGGCGGCTTCGTCGCCAAATCCAACGAAAACCCTAAGTAAAAATATAGAAATTAAGGGTATGGTTAATCCTAAAGGGAAGGTGTTTTCGTTTGCTTGTTTGATTTCCCCCCTCCTATTGGTATTCACCATTTTCGTTTGTTTGTTTGTTCTGTGTTTGGCTCATGGCCTTTTCTGATTCTCTCTCTATGTACTGCTGAAGTGACTTTCAATTCAAGGAGTGCGTGGTAAAAGCTTAACTCAAGTGTAATTACCGTGGTTAGCAGTGAGCTTTTACCGTGGTCACTCCTAACGTTTCAAACAAACTTGTCGTTAGCTTGTTTGTATTAGGACAGGTCATTTGTCAGGTGCTGCAGTAAGGGGAAAGTATTTATTTAATGCCTGTACACGAATTCCAAGCCCATTTAATTACATAATTGTCATGTGCTAAACTTGGTTCGTTTAGCACGGTTATAAACTTGTATTTTTCTCGATAAATATTACTCAAATCCACTGTCTGATTCACCTCCCGAAAACCATGAATGAGGGACAACTTGTCTTTGTAAAATTTCCCCACTTAAAATTGAGCACCGTAACTCCGTAACACAAAAGTCACACCTTACTACTCGCCCATCACACGCTCTCTCTCCTTTGCCGAAGACTAACCGCGAGAGTGAGAGTGGAAAGCGCAATAATTACAAAGTGTTGCCTAATCCCATTTTAACAGCACTCTAATAATATAATTACAGACAATATCATACGCCCTAATCTTGTTTTGCAGAAAACATTTGCCAGTCAGACATCAGAAAGAAGCAGAACATTCTCTTCTTCTTCCCACCCTCCATCCCAAATCAAAAAAATCGGATCTTTTTTAATTTCTCTTTCTTTTGGGTCAAAAACAAATCAACCCTCTACTTTACCAGTCCAACAGACATAGTTCATCTTCTCTGTACTCCGGTAATTACTAATTAATTTCTCTTTTTTTTTTTTTTTTTTTTTTTTTTTTTTTTTTTTTTTTGAAGATGTCTACTTAATTTCTTATGCTTAATTAATAAATTTGGTACACAATTTTCCAGCTATTCTTTATATGATCTCAACTTGTGTTTAATTTGATTTGTGGTAAGCGGTTTCAAACTTGAAGTGGTTACTAGTGGGGTTTCTGGGAAATGTTTGTTTTTGTGCTTTAAATTCTGATGTTTTAGTTGGAAATTTAAATTGATTAATTGTTTATTACCCAGGAAGTTTTGATTTGGATCAAAGCATCTTGAATTAAAATAATTGGTTCGAGTTAGTTGTGTGATTGGTGCTACAAAGATGTAACTTTGACGGATGTATAATTTTGGGAGGCCAATTTTTTGTGTCAATTGGAAATCAAGTTTGGTGGGTCAAAGATGCGGGAATTTCGTCAATGGTGGGTGAAGCCTTGTTAGTTGAAAACTTTACTTAGACTGTTTGTTGAGTGATTTGACATTAACTGGGGATAAATTCTTGAATCTTAAACTTTTGGTAGCTATATTAAACTTGGGTAATCGAGTTTATAAGAGAGTGATAGAGATTGATGAAAGAAGTTATTTTGAGGAGAATCGAGGCAAAAATGCGAAAATTCTGAAAAAAAAAAGAGTGAAACTGAAATCTACTAGATGAGTAGATGAGGAATGTAGCCATATGTTAAATTTGTTTGCTCCTGGTTAATAAATGAATCCACCAATTATCTTCGGCACTGGATCTTTGTAACGATTTGATTTAGTATTGCCACAGGAATGCTGTTCCATGGGATACTTGTGTGATTGACTTTTAGAGGATTAGTAGCTGGAGCTGGTGGCATCGGTGATGGAGCTCCTTTTAGCTGTTCTGGCCTTCATTTGTTTGCTTCCTTGCAGTTTGGCCGATTTTCAAGGTATTAGCCTCTTGACTGTTACTCCAATTGAATACTATCTATTGTTGAGGCATTGGGGGTAGATTTGATTCTGATATTGTAATTAGTGCAGTCAGCCAGCCAGTATGTTGCGTAGCATTCTTAATTTTGTGATTAATCAAATGTTGATCGTTACTGATGCTATTCTCTGTTTTAAGGCGAGGCGCTTTTTGCAGTGAAGCAATCATTGCATGCTTCAGACAATCAGTTGCGTGATTGGAACCCCAATATGGTTAATCCTTGCACTTGGTCAAATGTTATGTGTGACCCTAGTAACAATGTTATTTCTGTGTAAGTGCTTTTGATGCATCGTCTACATTATTACCCTATGCATGCACGTGGATCATAATAGAAGACTCATTTTGTTATTTGGTCACAGGACATTGTCTTCCATGGGATTATCTGGATCATTGTCACCTAAAGTCGGCACTCTGAAGACTCTTTCAACTCTGTAGGTTTAACTTTTCATTATGTTGTTTTCTGTACTACCCACTGACGAGGCTTTTGTTTTATAGAAGCTATATCTCATATATCTGTACATTTGTGATTGTTTTCTTGTTAGAAAATTTCTAAACTGACACTAATTATTGATTCTTGTTCCCTTCAAAAAATAATATGTAATCTTGTTGTATAACTTATGTCTGTTCATTTAGTAGGGAAAAAATTTTCAAACTTATGTTCACCTGTTTAGTTTTACTTATAAGATAATAATTTAAGTATCTTATGCGCTATGACTGCATGCGAATCATCAGTTCAAATGTCATCTTCAGACTTAGGGAGTGGTGATTGGAAATTTTAAAATATATCTAGGATTTGTTTTATTTTAGAAGTTCTGGATTTGAGATCAAATTTGAAAGCATTGACCATATCGTTTTCTAATGTTCAATTTATATTTCTTAGCATTTAAGCTACCTGTTTGCTTTCCATGGTAACTTAGATACATTGACTATGCAGGTCTCTGCAAGGGAATGCTATTACTGGCAAAATTCCTAAGGAACTTGGAAATCTGTCAAGTCTAACAAGCCTGGATTTAGAGAATAATCATTTGACTGGTGAAATACCATCCTCCCTCGGTAATCTTAAAAATCTTAAATATTTGTGAGTAGTACCATCTTTGCTGTTTTGTCTTGAGATAATGCTACATCTGTATTGAATATGATGAATTTGCTTTATCCTTTTTTTTAATTATCTTTCTTGATGCAGGACTTTGAGCTATAACAACCTCTCTGGGACTATCCCTGACTCGCTGGCTTCCCTTGATAACTTAATTAGCCTGTATGTGGAAATATTTTAATATTTTGTAGTATTAATACCGATTTATATTCTCATTTCAACCCCTTCCCAATTTTGTTGGGACTTGGAATAAAAGATATGAGTTTGAGTTATTGCTAGAATCTCTCTGTAGCTACCTTTTGTGTCTGACAAACCCGTAAATGTTGTTACAGCCAGCTCTCGTCAAATCAACTCACTGGCCCAATTCCTCAGAAGCTCTTTCTAATATCTCAATACAAGTATGATCTCTAATTCTCTCTTTTGATTGAATGACTGGATATTTTTTTACATGTTCACTGTTTGAGTAATGCGGCAAAAGCACTAATAATACACAATAAGGAATGGATGGATAAGCAGCATAGATGTATGCTCTTTTATACTTAACATCTTTTGTTTCCCTGATTGCAGTTTCTCAGGGAATCAATTGAGCTGTGGTAGAGATCTTCGCCATCCTTGTGTAGCTGAAGCTAATAGTGGAGGTATAATGGTTCTTGTGCATTTGGTGTGATTTGATGATTGTGTGTTTGTATTTATGTATTTCCAAGTTGCCGACTCTTGATTTATAGTTATGAAGCTATTGCTTTGAACTGATAATGTTTTGTGTTGACAGGTTCTTCAAATAAAACAAAAGTTGGAGTTATAGTTGGAGTAGTTGTAGGGCTAATTGGTATAATACTGGTTGGCTGTGTGCTGTTTTTCATATGCAAGAGCAGAATTACAAGATACAGGCGTGAAATCTATGTTGATGTTGCAGGTTTCATAATCTTCCTTTAAGTTGCTCAATTTATTTTTTCATAAGGTTTCTATAAAAGGTGTGTCAATCTGTTATCTTATAGTTAAATTATTTTAAAGTATTACTATGCATATTTGACATCTGCCAACCTTATCTTCAGTCTGATTGGTATTGAGTGGTAGTTGTTGTATACTCATACATCTTCCACATAGATATACATAGGTTTCAACCTCTCACGAACATAGATATCAACCAAGCGAATAAGCGATCACATAGATATGGAAATAAGGATCTTATTAGAACCACTCCTTTAGTGAGAATTGAGAACCTATCATAACCATTAGATTTGTAAAAGAAAAGTTAGGATTTCCTAGTTATTAATTTCTACTTTGTTAGATACAGTTGGTTAGTTTTACACTAAGAAGGTTATTTTTAATTGAGGATTGTGTGATGAGTTTTAATCTATAGCTTGAATATTATTCTCTAAAGTTTAAAGAGCCATGTGTATGAAAAGTTTGAATATGTCTGTGTTTTATATCTGAAGCCTCATAATGCATAACGATGCAGATTATTAATGTGTATGGCAGTAGAACTGATGCGCTCAGAGAACCTAATTATTTTTTTGTGTTTGTGATTATATTCAGGTGAAGTTGATCGTACAATTGCATTTGGGCAGCTGAAACGATTCGCTTATAGGGAGCTGCAGATAGCAACAGACAATTTCTGTGAGAAAAATGTTCTCGGTCAAGGAGGTTTTGGCAAGGTTTACAAAGGTGTGCTAGGAGACAACACAAAGGTTGCAGTGAAACGATTAACCGACTATGAGAGCCCTGGAGGAGATGCAGCTTTTCAGCGTGAAGTTGAGATGATAAGTGTTGCTGTACATAGGAATCTATTACGTTTAATAGGGTTCTGCACTACACCAACAGAGAGACTATTGGTGTATCCATTCATGCAAAACCTGAGTGTAGCTTATCGTTTGCGGGGTAATATTCCCTTCCTTTGTGATATAACTATATAAGTGGTACTTTTTCAACTCCTAATTAAACTTTGAGTCAAAGAAACTTGGACACCTTCAGTAACAAATTCACCTCTATCCCCCCTGCCCTCTCTTTCTGTTCTTTCATTCTTTATTCTTTTTTTTTTCTTTAATGTGTATTATATTTCATTTTTTGGGGTTGTTGGAGGGGGAGGGATGGTTGGCATGATTAATTTTAAGTTTCACTTATCTTCTTAAAGTAATTCCACTATTAACTTGTTTTAAAGTTATCCCAAGTTTTACTGGAACAATTGTAAGAATAGTGCCAAGTATATCTGCCCAGTTTGGTGCATAGTATCCTGGAAAAACAAATTTTGAACTATTTTTAGAGGTACCTCCAACCCTGAGATTATTCTTTGAAACTTAGCTGCAGCTCCCTATGCATTATTCTAATAATATTGATAGCTTTTGTATACTATTTGTAAATCATCGATATACCAGTAGGGTTAGAAGTTACGGAGTAGAAGTCATGAGTGTTAATTTATTCGACTAATCCTGCTGGTCTTATTTTCCATATTGGAGCTACTTTCAATTGCTGTACAAGATTACACTGAAATGACCTACTAAAAATGTTATCTCTTGCCTTGATAACAGGATTAAAATAATGAATTTTCTGTATTTGTATGTTGTCTTAATGTGATATTTGTATATCTTGCACTGCTATATTTACGGTCTGTAACATGCTATTATCTGGCCTATTTTTCTACAGAGTTGAAACCTGGAGAGTCTATTGTAGATTGGCCTACGCGAAAACGAATAGCTTTGGGCACTGCACGTGGACTAGAGTATCTGCATGAACACTGCAACCCTAAGATCATCCATCGTGACGTAAAGGCTGCTAATGTATTGCTAGATGAAGACTTTGAAGCAGTAGTGGGTGATTTTGGTTTAGCAAAACTGGTAGATGTTAGGAAAACTAATGTGACCACTCAGGTGCGTGGGACAATGGGTCACATAGCACCTGAGTACTTGTCCACTGGGAAGTCCTCTGAGAGGACAGATGTCTTTGGTTATGGAATTATGCTACTAGAGCTTGTGACAGGTCAACGGGCCATCGATTTTTCACGATTGGAAGAAGAAGATGACGTCTTATTGCTTGATCATGTAAGTTTACTGAAACCATTTATCTCTTAGGTGCTGTCCTTTTATGTGGTTCATTTAATAGTATGTAGTTCATTTAATAGTATGAGTATTAACTATGTGTTGATTTACAATCTTAACATGAATTTTGGCATATATAATCATGACAACTATATTAATCCATCATTTGTACTTATTTTATCCTGCAAAGCTCACTGGCACCCTTGGCTGAGATCTTTACTAAATATCTTAAATCTATTTGGGATAGAAGGTTTGTCTATGTGATGATACTAGTGTATGTACTTTATTACCCTTCGATGAGGATCTCACATTGATCTTTCATGTGCTTTTGATTTCCTTTTCTTTTTCTCTTACTTTTTTTCTCTTTTTTTTTCTATGGATTTAGATTACTTAAATTTTAATTCTTGTGCTCTTGAATGATCACAGGTTAAGAAGTTGCAGAGAGAAAAAAGATTAGATGCAATTGTTGATAAAAATCTGAATAAGACATATGACATTCAAGAAGTGGAGATGATGATCCAAGTTGCATTGTTATGTACTCAAGCTTCACCAGAAGAACGCCCAGCAATGTCTGAGGTGGTGCGAATGCTTGAAGGAGAGGGGCTTGCTGCAAGATGGGAGGAATGGCAGACTGTGGAAGTCACTCGCAGGCAAGAACATGAAAGAATGCATAGAAGATTCGACTGGGGTGATGATTCTATTCATAATCAGGATGCTATTGAGTTGTCCGGTGGAAGATAGGGCTAATGATGAAGGTAGTTCTGGGTCCCTATTTTAGAATAATTAAAAATGCTTGCTTTGTCTTAACCTCCTTAATAGAAGTAGTTTAGCCTGCTCTATAGATTTTCTTCCTTGCCTTGTTGAAAGAAATTATGTGCAGATTTTGGAATTGTTACATTGGCATTCCTGATTTATATTCTACTGTGTGTATATAGCCAAAATAGCAACTCTTCTTCTTAGTAGCGTGTGAGATTCTCAGAGAAAACCTTGAGTGATGTAAGCTTTCATAATTCCAAAGCAACTGTTAGAAGGCTCTCTTGGGCAATACAATTATTGAATGGTTTCAGCTTTTGTTTATGCTTCAGTGATGCCTCCTTTCTGAAGGTTTGAGAAATGGAGCAATGATATAACACTTCTAGGGATCGGGCTTCTTAGTCCTTTCCCTGGGCAATTTCTTGATATAATTTCTATATGAAGCAGTATCCTAGGATTTTTCTGACTGAATAGGAGGCTAGTTTTGGGCATCAGAACCTCAGATTTTATATTTGCGATCCAATTTCCGTATAAACTAGGTTTGTCTCAAACAGATTGCTTACAATGATCAACACTTCCAGGGATCGTAGCAGTATTCTGGGATTTTTGTGACCGAGTAGGAGGTTAGTTTTGGACAGAAGCACCTATGACTTTTTTTTCCCTTTTTCGATCCAATCCTGGGATCAACTAGGTTTTTCTATGAGAGATTGCTTTAAGTTGCACGACTCTTGAGTGGTAATCATTTTGCGGATCCTTCTTGAATAAGTTTTTCTTCTCTCTTCCTACTAGATTTTCTACCATTTTAGCCAAGTACTTCGTATAATTCATATATGGTGTCCCATACGTGTTGTGTATTACCTGGGTATGGCAATTGGCAAGGCAAATGGAGAGTCTGGATGGTCTGGGATAATATAAATTGCTATCTGATGACTTCTTGTATTATGATGATTGCTGATGATTTTATTTTTTTTTATTTTTTATTTTTTTTACTGCTTGAAAATTTGATCACTCTTCTTTACACAATTGAATATTGATGGATGCTTAGGATGGGGATGTCTTCTAGGAATTAATTGATCATATTTTCACATTTCTGCAAGATTAAGTTACATAATTACATGGAAGAGTTAAAAAACAAAATAGAAAAATTAGATCATTATTGTTATTAGTTTACTAATCCTATGTACTCCGCATCCTGTTAGACCTCCACTCTACCGCCCCTCTTTGTCGTAGGGTTTAAGAAGGGCTATAGATTTTGCGGTTCTTCATCCAGAACTTCTAGTAGTTGATACCTTCCTCCAAGGTTGGATTTTCGCATTGTTCTGCTTTCTATCTGGTTGAAGCATAGCTGCCACTACACGCTTCTTCTCATCTTTCTTGTTACCGAACTCATTCTCTGCTAGAAGATATTTTGGTATGGATTCCATGTCTCTAAACTCCATCTCTCTAAAGTTGATGCCACTTTCTTTGTAATCTACACCCGCCATGGCTAATGCATCAATCGACATGACTAAACCTCGGAACCTCTCTCACTCTCGCTCTTGCTCTCTCTATCTGTTTTTCCTTTAAAAGCTTTGTATTCTTTGAAGATATTTTATGATCACTGATATCCTGGAATGCAAGATTGTTGGATATATTTATAAGGAGGAAGAAGGATAAGGGGGGGCAAATGGTGAATGTATGCATTCATTGCACTTGAGGTAAGTGAAAAACCACTTTGTAAAAAGGAAGCTGTTTAATTTTTGCACTTATAGTAGTTACACCTTTTCTGGTTTTTATTATTACTGTATAAGATATTTCATGTTAACCATATACCCGTGAACCTAACATTAGATATTAGACATTATACGTTAAAACCATTTTTGTGATTTAATATGGGCAAATAAGCCTACTCTTCTTCCATATATAGAAGGTTATCCTTGGCTATTTTAAGCTTATATGGCTATACTAATTGTGTCCACTTGTGTTGCTGGCAACCGAAATCGGAATCGAAAGGGATACCTGTGGTCGATGGGAGTTGAATTTAGGTTATCCAAAGCAACAAGATACAAACATTACTAAAAGTATGAAGAGTATGACTATTACAGAGTTGTTGTATTCTTAATTACAAGTGGTTTGAGTAACAGACTTATCTCTATATTGAGTGACTAACCTTGCCAAACGAGAGATATCTATCTTAAATTGTCCCAAAATTATACTCCGTAATCCAATTTCTTGGGTTAGTAAGTTTATATATGAACTTTCTTGTATCACTCTAAATGACACATTAATATTTTTAGGAATTGTACAATAATAAATAAATCGATACTGAGTTAGGGATAGCTCAAGTGGTTAGAACTCTCCTCTTAATTCTAAGGGATCTTGGCATTGATTCTCATCAATTGTCCTTACGGCTCTCTAAACACCAAATAAAAATAAAAATAAAAAAAAAAAAAAACGTTAAAATGTGTTTATTAAAGATATTTTGTGTACCATAAATTTCTGACCATAACTTTCTTACCAAATTACTCCTGGATGAGCCATAGTCCAATAATTGAGAAAATCAGCTTATCCTTTCCATTTTTCCATGTATTTTGGCAGAAAATTTTTGGAAGCATACATTATCCATTTATTATCCCTTTTTTTTCCATCTCTTGTCTTGCAATGTACTAATACTAAACTCTAGTAGTCTAGTATGACTATATTGGCTATTTTTGGGTCACTGTCTTTCACTAACTAACTATGTAGGCCCATTATTATTTTAATTCAATTTTGTTTCAAATTTTCTATGCCTAGCTCTTTCTAATTTGAGGAGTGGCTCCTTATTTATTTGAAGGATCACTTGTACTATATGTTTAATGTTTTTGCTATATTTTCTTATAAGATTTGTTGAGAAAGAAAATACGAAGCATAAAAATTCATTCTTTCAATTTTGAAGTTCATAGTTTTATTAATGTAAATAAATCTTAATATTTTGGTTTTGCAAGTGAAACAATTTTTTTTTTAAATAAATAAGTAAATAAACAAGGTATACCAAATTGAAACCAAAAGTTTTGAAAATCACAAATGATCAATTACACAAAGTCTATATAATCGGTCATAATATTAATTGGGTTTAAGAGAGTGTAATTAACTAATTATCAAATAAGTTTCGAACCTCCAACCTCTAATAGAGGAATCTTGCCATATTTTTTTAACAAAAGCATCTACTTTTCAATTTGAATTATATACTTAGGTATTATGTTTGTTGTGCATCTAGATTGATTTGGAAATAAAAACCGTGGTTTTAAATTGTTGGTGCCGCTGGTTTTTGGCAATCACAAGTATAATGTTGAAGGCAGGAGCTAGGCTAGGCAGCTAGCAATCTAACATCATTATAAAGGTGATGTACACCTAATTACAACTTTAAAAACCAATAAAAGAATCAATGGAAATCTATGCATGTGATATTTAGACAAAGGTTAAGTTAATTAGGGTATAATTCAAGGAATTATCTTCCGATAACTTCATTTATCTATGATCTACCAGATTATAAGCATTGCTTAGAACACAATAGGGCAAAGATAGTGCCTAAAGTAGTGTGTATTATCCCAAGGACCGTGTGTGTTATGAGTACAAACTATGAACATATAGGATGGACCAAGGCATGAATGAGATCGTTTCGAGCACCAAGTAAGTTTCTGGAAGCACCTTAATGCATAATCTTGTCGAGTCAAAAATGTTCTTTAAAAGCCAAACTAAAAGGCTATTATACACATGAAATTGAATTTTTTTCCAGAGGTTTTATGACCCGGAGTCGAAAGCTCACATAATCATAATGGACGCCTTAGGGGGTCATATAATGTTGTTTTGAGCCATATATGACCGATACTTGGGTGTATAAAGGCCTATGGTGGCCTATAACTAATGAAAGAAGGTGTATACAAAAACAACCATAATGACTATTTAGAGGCAAAGTGGACAGCTCTAAGACTTCCAAAGTTCCAATCACTGAAATGGTATCACAAATGTGTTATGAGATCCATAGGAAACATCTCGACCTTTTTACTTTCTAGATCCAAAAAAGTAAAAAATTGTCTAAAACTGAAGGTTATAATCTATAGTTTTAGACCAATTTTGGAGGAATCGCCGTTTCGGAACCCGATATCAAAATTGTCTAAAACTGTAGGTTATGTGCAGTGATGTTATTAGAGCCATATGTGAGCATTGTTTGGTCATATAAAGACTTGTAGTGGCCTTGAATTAATTAAGAGAAGCATGTGTAGAAATGGTTAAATTGGCAGTTTAAAGGTTCCTACCATCCGAATGACCTTCCACCTCAGTGAGTGTCGTGGGGTCCATAGGAAGAACTTCGACCACTTTTCCGATTCTTTCGTGTCTGAAATAGTCCAAATTGTCCAAGACTGAAGGCTATATAATACACGAAAAGACCAATTTTGAAATTATGAGGCTTCTATCATAATAACTCAAGATTTTAGAGGATGCATATTGTGGTCATATAATGTAATTTGGAACCATATATGACCGCTAGTTGGTAAAGCAGATGATTTTATCCACCTAAGTGGCCTTTTGTGGTCTCATCACTTCATGAGATTCATGGGAATCATCTCGTCTTCTATCATTTTCGATTCCAAGAAAGTACAAAACAATCTACAATTAAAAGTATTGTACACTATTTTGGATCAATTTTTAATTCGGGACAATTATCCCAAAACTAAAGTGGATCTGGATTGTGTCTCCCAAGTTCAAAAGTAAATGATAAGTAAATGACAAGTAAAACATAATCACTTGGGATCTTGTTAAACAATTTATAGTATTAAAATATCAATTATATATACTCCATAAATTTTTATATTGCTTAAAAATCAAGAAATGCTTTATTAATTTACATTAAGTTATACTTCGTATGAACAAGGTATTACAGCAAAATTTAGGCCAGCTTGAGTTGTAATTGTAGCAAAACATGGGGAAAGCATTATAGAGATGTTTATCTCACAAGATGTTGTCCACTCTTATGAACATGGTCAGCCTAATAATAGCTGTAATTATCATTATTAACACTCTTAACTTTGAGTTGCCTTTTGATACTTCAAATTTCTCCTTATCATTAGTGTTATTGCAGTTTATGAAACTGCAATGTTGTTGCTCATCTTCATCAGCCAGGAGGTGGTCTGGTGTTTCCTCTAAGTCGGCACGCTCCCATTCTTCAGTTTCTAACCCAAAGCTAGCATATCTTCTCCTGCCATTGCCAATGCTTCTAAGGAAGTCGACATATTTTTCTTTTTCGGTTCGAGTTTTGGACTAAGGTTAAATTTGATTGATAAGTTTGCTAAGAAGTTGTAATTGAAGGATGAGTATATCTGTATATGCATGTGTGTGTACGTGTGTGTTTATATATGCATGTTTACAGGTTGAATTTTCTCTATGAAATCACGGGTTATGCAAAAGAATCAAATTAGTTGAATTGAAATTCAGATTTTCAGAAATTTTATGCAATAGCATTCTCGTGATATAATATATAGTATATCATTCATTCAGTCCTTCCTGAAATCATTGAATTTGACAAGTCAGCATTTCAACTAGGCGTACGTGCACATTGGATGAATGTCAAAAAGTAGAGTCCCTGGTCATTTGGTCAAGAAGATACACAAGTATTGTACGAAGTATATGCAAATTTAACTTGATCGAAATTACATGCCAAAATTACAAGGTCGCATTGGACATTTGGACACATACTTATGTCGTAGAGTGTACATGTCGGAGTATCAGATTTTTCTTGCAGAATTAACAGGAGCGATTTTGTTACAGACAGTTTAACACCAATGACTTTTTTTTACCAACAGAAACAGAGGAGGTCTTACAAAAGAATAGCTGTATTATAAACATTACAGACTTTACAGTTATGTTTTAGTAACTAAAAGGTTTAGCATAAGTTGAGTTAAATATTTACTTTTATAAATGCAATAAATTCAGACCAAGAAAACCAGTTGGCATGAATAAAGATCAAAAGTGAACAAAAAGTGAGGTAGACCTCGGTGGTTGTCTGGGAAACATTAGAACTTGTCATTCAAATAAAAGGAGCTATACTTCAATACTTTTCCCGTGAGCAGAAGAAATGCATTAACAATGGCGTCAGTTGATACGATTTCGTGCTGATGTAATGCTGATGAGTTTGATGATCATATTGCCTAAAAGCCTTAGTAGGCTTAGTTTCAAAAACCCTCACGTATAACATGAAGCCCTCTTTATCAATAGAAATATCTTCAAACTCTTTAGTTCGAGTCAAAGTGTCAATTAAAATATCCGTACATTTCATTGAAAGGGGTAATTGACCAACCTTGTATTAGATTAGAAAAGCTCAGATCAATAAAAATAGGATAAACTACGAAAGGTCAATTATCGAGTACATACATAAATAAAAATAATTTCAATTCCATTGATTATAGAATGGAAGGAGGGAAAATAAGTGTAACTATAATTTGAACAATCATAAAAACAGAACAAAACATAGTGAAAAATAGGAGTAACACAACAAAATCATTAAAAATGGAGCAACTCTTTCTCATATGAAGACCACAAATAATCCATATCTTGCAAACATTGATCACCCTCAATCAATCCGAATCCGAAATCATCCTGTTCTTCCTCTACAACATCAAACTTATTATCATCTTCAGCAACTGGCATATGCCCTTCAAACAATGACATATGCTCAAACAACTCATCTTTTCGCGAAAACATCCTCCCACACGAACACTTACAACTCTCCTCTTCCGCCACCACCACCGCTGTCGCCGCTACACAGTTTTTCATATGACACTTCAAATCCGCCAACACCGAAAACTGCTTCTTCTTACACCCAAGACACGGAAACTTCTTGGGACAATGACTCCTCTTAAAATGATTCTTGACACAAATAACCGATTTCAACGGTCTGAACTCCTGGTGTCTTTTGTTCCTGATACACCCGGCATATGGACATGAGAACCTCGTATTCCGACCATAAATGTCGGAGTGTTTGTGTTTATCTGGCTTCGATAAAGACTCCATGGTCTTGTACTTGTCACCATGAGCTCGCATATGCATCCGTAGGTTGGCGTCTCGCTTGAATCCTTTCCCGCAAACTTGACACGTGTGGGAGTGCTCAGCCGTTAATTCCATCACGTCTAGCTCCACGATCTCAAGATCGTCGCCGTCCACGTGGGTTGAGGAGGATGAGGTGGTGAGGAGGGCGGCGCCGTTGATGACGACGGCGTGGATGGCGGAGGATAGCTCGGCAGAGATTGAGTTTGATTGGTTTATTGAGATGGGGGCGGTGCCGTTGACCGAGTTGGATAGGATGTGACTCAGTGAGTCGACTCGGTTGCGGATCGCTGTGAGGTTGGTTAGGGGATCGTCCGAGGCGGTGTATTCCGGTGGTGGAAGGTGGAGGGTGTTGATGGGATCTGTCATTTTCTGGATTTGTTGTGGGTTTGTTGAGAATTTGAGAAGGGTATATGGTTATTCGAGTTTCTTTTAAAATATTATTGTACACTATTACTCGTATTTTTTTTAGGAAAATGTTATACATAGCTCTTAGGGCTACATATAAGCATTAAAAATACTCTTGAAAACTGTTTAAATTTAGAAAAACATGACAAATTCATACTAATTACACTGATCTACGCGTGTTTTTGTCATGAATTCCTAATTTTATACAATTTTCAAGAGTGTTTTTAATGCTTATATATAGCCCTAAGGGCCTATGTATAGCATTACCCTTTTTTTTTTATGTCAATCAAACAAATAATTATTCTATTCTATATGTTGCCAAAAAAGATCTTAAAAAGTTTAGCTATGGAGTCGTATTTAGACAGTTTAGTTCAACAAAATTCATTAAAGTAGAGTTGAAGCTTTATGGAGTAATATTAGGTTATCAACAACCGTGTGTCCGTGCTTCCACTTGACAGTGTACATAGAAGATTACAAAAAAAATGATAATGGGAATCATAACATCATTGACATAATGATAAGGAAAGTTTTAGCATTTGGAAACGAATATTGAGACAAAGACATACCTGATCACTAAGAACTTGAAAGTATACAAAATTGATCCATGTTTACATCCAACTCCTTATATTCAAAGAATTGAAATTTTAATCACTAATTGCATCTTACAAACATTTAATTCTGTGACGTAGCAACAAAATGTATCCGATTTCATAAAATGTAGTAGTATTACTACCTGATTTTCCACAAGTGAACACTTCATGATGGTAATCAACTCGTCACAATGAGACATATAAACACAAACCAACCTGATTACATTTGGATTCTTCTATTTCTTTCGGGGACAACACATGACAAATCGAGACAACTAACTCCCGTTCTCTAGTCATAATCACTAGATTAAGCTCATTGGTTCATCAGCCATAACAGCTTATTACTTTTGAGCAGCAGAAACAACCAAAAGAATATGCAAGTCTTCTAACTCTGTCACTAAGCTTATTATTGGTTCATCAGCTTTTGGGGGTAATTTAATTTGAGTGCTCTAACTGCTTCCTATGAGTTGTTTCGAACCACCACTTCTTTTATTAAACCTGCAGCAACTTTCATTCTTTTTAAGATGGCCTTTATTTCAGTCTGCAAAGGAGGAATACAAAATATTCTTTCTGACCCTTCAGAAGTTCACGTTTACTTCCCTTTCTTCAACTACCCAGCCAATACTAGCTTTCCAGCCTATCCCTTTTACTACTTCCTTTTCCAAGCTCCATCCACTTCAACGCTCAAAATCTCACATTTACCAGATTAATGTCCAGATCATCTTTATTGGTGCTGCAATTGTCAACTATCACCCGTGAAAACACAAACAGAAGCTATGGAACACACAACCAAATCTATTGCCTAACTAGAAGCCTAGAACAGATTTGAACCCTGTTGTCAAACCAATGTGTCTAGGGCTTTTCAGATCTTCCATAAATAATACTATAAAAGGTAACCCAAAGTAATGCAAAACTGAGAAACTAAAAACATACCCATTTATCTTGTGCATTTGGCCAAATATGCATTCCATCCTTGACGCCGATATTCACGAGCAGCCTCTCTGGGATTCGCAGCTTTAATGATCCCACGACCAACAATTATTATGTCGCTGCCTCTATCATGGATAACCTGCAACAATTTAACCAGTTTGAACCAAACACATGGCCTCACAAATAAAGCAGCTAGATATACATAGCCATCCTTTTAGCACAACAAGCAGCACTTCAGTCATCTGAATTTGAGAGTACTAATTCTATTTTAAAAGCTAATACTCTCTCAACATTTCAGACCGTAATTAATATATCTGTTGCCATTTGAACAATCTGGTACCCAAAATTGAGAAATTAGAGGGAAAAAAAAGTAACATACTGAATACGGAGTGTTGTACTGCTGTCCAAGGGCATCACCACCAATCACCATTTGAACTCCAGGTGTAGCATGAATTAGGGCTGGGTTAACGGGTCCACATTTCCAAGATGCTGGATTAACTGAGATGAATCCTATGACAAAATCTGAGTGATCCTCAGCGATCTTTGCTGCTGCAGCTGTGTAATCTCCTGTAGCAAAATTACCAGCAGAGCTCATCTCAGCCAACAGCAAGAGCCCTCTGCCACGAGGCAAGCCCTGAAATTCAAGAGCGGAAATATTCTCTCAGTTTAGAAAGTCAGGCATTCTATATAATCATATTCTAGAAAGCATACCTTCAATTTAAGGCCATCCACAATCCCAGGGCCAGATATAATGTGAGCATTGACAATGTCAGCCCAATCCAAAATGTGATAAATACCTCTGCAACAAGAAAAGTGATAAGCTCAGAGGAGGCAAGTGAAAGAAGAAGACTGAAAAAATTCACTGTAAAACACAGGAAAATTATGGTCTATTACCCTTCATATTGCATAGTTACAATGTTGCCAATGTCAGCAAACTTGCGATCTTCAAAAATAAGAAAACTGTGCTTGTCTGCAATCTGTCAAGTTCATTTACCAAAGTGACGAAACAGTTGCATGAGAAACAAGAAGTGACACACATAATGCATAAAAACTAATGATACGAATTTAAGCACCAAAATGTGGAAAACAGAAATATACATTTTGAAGTCAATTCCATAGCAAAAGGGCAAAAACTAATGCAGCTGGTCCTGTTAACAGAAGAATTCTTCCTGAACTTCAATGAGGTGTATTGTGTATCTCATGAAGTCCAAATAAACATGGTCCACATAGGCACAATAGCATGGATATGTTGGAACAGGATACTGAGTGATGATGGTATGTGGCAACAAATCTGGGGATAAAATGTATAAAACTAGGATAAATATAAAGATAGATCAATACATACCGATCGAAGTTTTGTGCCAAAATCTGGGGTAAAATCAGGCAATATATCAACATGAGTTTTCAGTAAGCAGATTTCTGGTCCTACCTACAACACAGTGAGCAAACAGGTTAAGTGAAATGAATATAAGCATAGCCTTAGAGATTGCTAAGTAGCCTAAGTATGAAGAATCTTTACTATTAAGATTAAAATACAGAGACTGGCATTTATTTATGACTTAATGTTTAATCCACCCTAGACTACATAAGAAAAATGTACTAATGTAGGGTGTTAGCTTTAGAGTTCAAATATATGCAAAGGCTAGAAATTGTCACCTTATCAGCCAGGTCTAGTAACTCAGCAGCTGTACCAACATCAGCAGCCAAGCACAAATTCGTCTTCTTGTTTACCATTATCTCAAACAATCTCCTACCAGTTTCATTTTCAGCTAACTTGGCCCTCTCCCCATACGCCATGTTTAATCCCCCAACTCTCTCTTTTCTCAAATTTGGCACAGAAACCTTATTTTCCTTGAAACTTCAACACCATATTCTCTGTTTCTTTTTCCACCTTACCCAACCTCCTCAAAACTCCAACCATCTCACTCAGCTTCAACAAGGAATGCAATCTTATCCCCTTTTCTGCCAAATTCTCTCTTCCTCCCTGTTCCCTAATATGCCAATATCCATGTACATTAGCCATTAACAAAATTTATAGTCTACTTTTCCCCTACAAATTACATAACATAACTAAAGAAAATATACAAAGTACTCCCTCCATCCCAATTTAGTTGTCACAAAAGTTACATGCACAAGTTAGAAAAACCGTGGCACAAAGGATACTTTGTGTCCGTATGTTGCAGCTAAATTGGGACGGTCCAAAAAGGTATATGACAACTAGTATCCACACGAAGATAAGAAATCTTCTTACTCATTTTGTTTTAATTTTCTTAAAAAGAGCTCACCTATCAATCAAAACAACAGCGTCAGTAACCTTGAGGCCAAAATCTCTCAATGGAGCAGCTGTCTCAAGAACAGATGCACCACTAGTAACAAGGTCTTCAATAATAAGGCAAGTTTGGGAGGGACGAAAAACACCTTCAATAGCTTTGCCAGTTCCATATGATTTAACCTCTTTACGGCGCATGAGCATAGGAATGTTGTTAGCTACAGAAACTCCAGTGGCAATAGGAAGGGCAGTGTAAGGGACACCACAGATGACATTAAAGGATGCGGGGGCGAGGCAGAGCCAACGGCAGAAATGAGGGTTTGGGAGATTTGAGAGAGGAGTTTAGGGTAGGACACAATTAAGCGAAGGTCTATGTAGACTGGAGAGGCTATACCGGATTTCAGCTTGAAATTGTCAAATTTAACAGCGGATATATCGTGGAGTTTAAGGATTAGGGACTCCATTGTTGAGGGTGTGACCGTCATTGACGATAATAAACTGTTATAGCAATAATGCAGGTAAATATTAACCAAAAGTTGCCATTAAAGATAGTCTTAAACCACACCAACAATTCCTAAATAAGATGCTACCATGAACAACAATCATTCATTATTCAACAATTAGTCTGTTACAAAATCATGTATTAATATATACCAAACTATATAATAATGAGAAACAACAAACAAGTTATCAAAAATCAATTAATGTCACTCGATTATTCAAGGGTTCTTCAATTATACACTACCTTGAACAACAATTGATTAAAAATGAACAAAAGATAAATAGAAACTGCGCGGCATAATAGTAATAGATACAAAAATGCTGATAAAATATTTCTGGGTTATCCAATTTCATAAACGAATTGCTGTCACAAATTTGTTGATTAATGCTATAGTTGTTGTTCATTAATCATAAGAGTCAAACACAAAGGCAATTTTCTAGTGAAGTCACCAATTGAAGAATATATTAGAAAAAAAAAATAAAATACGCAGTGATAAAGTTGATGAAAGAGACTTACCGGAAAAGTGACAGAGACGATGGTTACCGGTGACGATTGTGCCGGCAGCAATGAGACATGAGAGCGAGCATCGATCTGGCTATCGTTCGTCTTTTTTCAGTTGTGTTTTTAAGGGCCTTGGGCCTTACAACTTTGCTATGGACATGTTACTCGCTAGGGCTGTACACAGTTTGGTCTGGACCGTAATCAAACCAGATCAAATCGCATTTTAGCGGTTTGGTTTGGTTTACGGTTTGAAAAAAAAACGGTTTGGTTTCGATTTTTTGGGAAATACGGTTTGCGGTTTGGTTTGGTTTTTCAAAAATTATAAACCAAACCAAACCGTAAACCAGTAAACCGCATTTTAATATTTATATAATTTTTAAATCAATTAAAATAGTTATAATATATTATAAAAAAATAAAAAAAAA